GGGGGCCCGCTTACTAATTAGGATCGAACATTACACACTATGCACTATGTATAACCAACAATGTCAAACAATGTCCGAATGGGGCACCTATCGCTAACAAAAAGCTTCAACTGTCCGCCCGCCGAGCTGCTGTAAGCCAGGTGTAGCTCAAGGACTCCAGGCCTGCCGCGAGTATGGTGCATCAAAACTACGTGAGATGCATGTCTATTGTGTCACTGTGAGGAGCACAGGTCTTTCTAGAGCCAGCCTCGGACTACTGACTAGAGGACATCATCGCGCACAGGACTTTCAAATCCACTTTTTGCACCTTTTACTTATATAATCTTATATATTATTTCCAGTTGTGGTTGCCGCGTGCTGCTGCTACTCAGCTACTCAATTGGAGAGACGGTCAAATATCAGCGTCTTTGGCTGGTCTTCAAACGGCCCACAACGAGCCGTCGGAAGTCAAGCGACGCAGGGCGGATGGAAGTCCAAGCAACCACCGAGCAGGGCTTCCGCATCCGCGTCGCCCATGTGAGCAGCACGGCGCAGCCAGCGCAAAGCGCTTTTGAAGGATCCGGACTCCAAGAAGGAAAGGCCCAGATTGTGAGCTGCCTCCTTGGAAGATTTGGACAGGCTGGAAGGACATACAGTGACATACAGGCTGGCATTGAATCTTCAAGTTTTCAACTTCTTCCAGGGGACAAAGACTCAAGGAGCACTTGCCATGCAAACATAAGGCACGGTGAAAGGAGGACCTGAATGGATCCCAATGAGTGTAGGTGAATGTCATCACCACTTCTTGACATGATCTGATGATGTACTGACAGACTTGATTGAATTGTGAACAAAAGTATCAAAAACAATTCTTATCAATTCTTGATCCCCCATGATGCCTGTCTCGCTGGACCCTTCATTCTGGGGTCGATATCAGATTCAAAAGTTGTGCAATTGTCGAACTCTACGATCCAAGGTCAGCTCCTTGACACCCTGACGTGCAGCACGGCGCCACCAATGCTGGGCTCTCGCCCTGCGGCCCTCCTGCATCTGCCTGCGGAGTGTGAACCAGTATCTTATCAACACCATGTACGGAGTGTTGAGGTGTACTAAAAATTGCACCGCCGATAAAGGTGGTGGCGTTGGTGGGTGGTTGGGTGGTTGGGTGGGTGGTGGTGGTTGGTGATGGTTAGTGGTTGTTATATATCCCGAATGCTGTCACTGTCGCTGCGGTCGTTGTTGTTGTTGTTGCTGCTGCTGCTGCTGCTGCTAATTAGCTCTTGTTGCTGGATAAAATGGAACAATCAACTCCACCGGAGGGCAAATGACTGCGTTGTACTGCAAGAGCATTCATCATCATTCGTCAACGCCCAAGCCCAACCCTATTTTGGTTGCAGCGCACCTCAACCCCCAATTCAGCTGTGCGGTGCTTTGTCCTTTGGACGCAGCTTGTGCCAGCCATCGCCAGCCCTGCGCCGCTTCACCACTATTGAAGATCAAGCTCCGGGCATACCTCGGGGCCACCAAACTGACGACTCCTTTTGTTTTTGCATCCATCCCCAGTCATAGAAGTTGAGGCAATGCATGTACCACCCTACAGGCATGGCATGTGCACTGGAACCGCTCATCGGCAGTTGATGTCTGTAGCCAGGGCACCTAGAACCTGGAACGCTTCCTAACCTCCACCCTCTTGCAGCCGATAGGCGGCACATTGGAGATCATTTGAGTGTTGGGGCTTTGATCGTATCATCCAGGCAGGAATCCTTCTGATCCTTCGGCTGGCAGTCCAACAAAGTAAACAAAGTCCCCTGAACACATCAGAGTTGCTGATACTGGGCATTGGGCTCCCCCAGTCGAGCATACTTCCTCTTCCAGGGCGTCTGTGCCTTGTGACAGGCCGCCCGGCTGGTGCTGAACCTCGAACGCCCAAGAATGCTGTGTGACACGACTCCCTCAATGTCTGCGACAAATGCACCAATTGATCCTTTTGGACTGGGCGATGTTTATTTGACCTTCAAGATGGAGGGACTCGGGGGACCGTAGTGTGAGGTCGGAGCGCACCAAACCAACAAGAAAGGGCTACATGGTTTCGATATGTTTCGATGTTATTCCCCTTTGGACCTGCAATGCCAGGTGAAGACCCGAGAAGATATGAGAAAATGACAAAGCTTGTTGGACGCCAAAGCCACCACATGATCAGGCTGTGACGAGTACCGCCTTGAACGTCGACACCTCAAGCCCATGCGCTTGGCGCTTCACACCCTTGCTGTCGTGCCTGCCTCCTTTTGGCACCTGTTTTGAATGCTGAGATTCTATTCCACCCTTGACAAGCATTAAGGTGCCTCATTTTCATTAGGTGACTGATCCCCCTTCTTTGGGCTACGAATCTGCAAGCTGCATGGCTGTCTGAGCTGAGGTATGCTGAGGTGCCCTGCTGTGGAGCAGGTCATAGGAGTGCAGCACCAAATCTCCCAAGTCCAGCTCGACGAGGCGTCGTGAATGCTCAGCAGGTTGTGCTTGCACCACCAGGCCTGCAACCATCGCCAAAATGAGGCAAGTGCTTTATGTAGACAAAGGGGGGCAACCAAAGAAATCGTCCCAACACCTACTGTATATACAGTGTGCTTTGAACATCTTTGAACATGGTATGGCCATCTTCATGCTTTCTCCTGTCCAATCATCTGCGTTATCTCCCCCACAATAGCCCACATGACATGAGTGATTCAAGCTGCCCAAGCAACACACACACACACATATAGGTATAATTATATATATATATATATTACGATTCATTATTGTTTATATAAACATGCCAGCATACCTTTTGGACACAGCACGCCTCTGTGCCATTTGGATTGTCACCATGTTGGTTGCGTAGATCTATGCAAACTGCAGTGCTGTGGACATGGAGACTTGCAGATGTGTGCCCCCAGCCTCCAGAGAAGTCTGAGAGCTTATCAAGAGATACAATGGCAGTTGCAAAAGCATACCTCAGCAAGTCTGAGCAACTCAAGAGTGACCAACACCGAAACAAACACAACAAAACAGTTCTGGCCAGCCAAGCTCGGGGATTCCCCTCAATCACATGTTCAATTGCCCCAGGTGGGAAAGGATGGAAAAGGCATGCAGCCCGGGTTGCCTGGGTCGATGGTGTTTGGATGTGTTTGGTAACTTTGTGAGTTGAAATGCAAGCTGCTCATCAAAATGTGCCTGGATGGACGTCCGAATGCCCGCATCGCCATATCTTCGCAACAATGAGCTGCACAAAAAGCCTCAAATGTGCTTCAACATGCTTCAACCATACAATTCAATCCCACACAGAAAGTGGGTCCCATTCAATCCGGACTGGTATGAACTTGGAGGGACCGCCCCTCCACGACTGGTGATGGATAACGAAAGCCAAGTCCAGTCAACCTGGATCAACGAAGCTTCGTATCCGCCAAACGAGGGACAATGGCAGCGAAGCTTGGTCTGCACGTATGACTCCGCTTTGTCCCAAATGGGCTTGGCCGCGCGCTGCAGGGTGTCCATGCCAGCTCGATGGGACAGCACACCATCCTGATACCCCCATGTGACCAAAGCAGCTTTTGTCATGAATTGAAAGTGTGAGAGCTGTAAATGTGGTACTTCACAACATTATATATGTATAGAATTATGATGAATTAGGAATGTGTGCAGAATGAGGTCCAAGTTTGTTTAGGGATTGCAAATGCTGCAAACCACTCGACAAGAATCTATGATAATCTACAGTATTGTGTACCTTTCTTTTTCCGAGATTGCAAATTACTGATTACTGCTGCCGGAAGACTCCGCTTCCATAAACCGTGTACAATTCTCTACCATGCCATGTTGAATAGTCATAGCAACATATAGCAACCACCTTACAACCAACGACGGGTCTGAAAAACATGCGCCTCACTTCTTCCCTGCAAAAGCCCATGCTATGCTTTGTTATTTTCGATTGCTCCTTTGTCCCTATTTTCCCATCTCCCCTCTTTCTCGCTCTCCATAGCTCTCCGTCGCTTTCAAAAAGTGTTTGCTTCCTGTACCAGTTTGCAAGATTCATGCAACGAATGTCAACCAGGCGGACCAAAGTGACAGCCTGACAGCCATTGGATACAAGTGTCGTCGTGGAATTGGAAATCTCTCCTGCTCTTTTCCTTCTCTCTTAACCTCCTTCTTGCGGCCACACAGGCCAATCAAATGTCAGCACATGAATACTTGATTGCCTTTGCAACCCCTTTTGTTGCATTTCTTTTGGATTTGGCACGCCCTCCAACAACTATAATCCCTTGTTCCATGACCTTCAGTCCTTCTTCAAAGGGATCTCATCTGTGGGTTGGCCATCCACCGAGTCAGCATCTTGGTTGAAAAGTCCCGAACTCTCGGCCGCAGCGAGATGGCGCAGGGCCTCCCGGAAAACACCAGGAGTTGGTCGACGTTCACAACGATGCCGATAGAAACAGGCATGAAAAAATGTGAAAAGGCATCTTCTCATCATCGCTTTCAGTGCCTTTTTTCCTGTTTCTATTTTTTGGGAGGTGCTGGATTTGGAGCAAGGGAGTGATTCTCATGGGGGGCGCGGTGGCTCGAAGACTCCTAAGAGGCTTCTGCAACTTGTGCAGCCTAGTAAGTCAATTGGTGCGAGATATCTGAGCTTTGCTGCCAAATGTTGGGCAACATGAATGTTGGCAACATGTTGTGACCAATCGCAAGCCAACAACCAAAGCAGCTGTAGCATGCTGTAGCACTGCATGTGATCCCATTGTGCGTGAGCAATGGCGGTCAAGCAAGCACGCATATGGAAATCGTACGACAACAGCATGAGCATGAGGACCCCCGAAAAAACAAGTATTACATAAACAACTGCAGGTAAGTCTTGGTCAAATCGGGCCCCATACCCCTGCCCATCTGCCCTTTTCACCGCGGCTCCGATCCACGCGTGTCAAGTATGTTGGAGCTTGCTCTCTCAATCCAGCGATGCCTCCTAGAAGACAAAGCACATGCCTGCCACCAAAGCGTTTGGCAGGTCTTCAAACCGTTTAAGCAGGGCACCCAAGGCTCTGACAATGAACAATGAACCTCCATTCTCGGGTGCTACAAGGCTACTTAGGCTTTTGAAGGGACAACAGGAAGTACCTCATGGATCTGTCAGGAAGGAGTTTGCCTTTTGGAGGCCAGGTTGGCACAGTCCGGTGGACAATAACTCGGATGATAGTGGTCAATGCTGGTTAGAAGAATTTGTGTCTCACAGGTTTTGCCAACGATCACTGGCTGGATTAGCAAGAGGCCACTAGTATTTGCTACTAGTAATGCAAGGAGCTACTAGTAATTAGCTTTTTGTTACTAATAGTAATTATGGTGCCTTGTTACTCGTAGCAAGAAGTAGATGCCAGGTAGGAGTGTCTCCGTGGCTCTCACAGCTCTCCATGCCCAATTGGCCTGATGCCGGCATTCCTTGATTTCGCAGCGCGAGGAACCCGATCCACGCCGACACTCCAGCTATAGCAACCGCAAATCAGCTGATATCAGCTGCCCATATCACCGTTCTAAACACACTAAAACTGTGACCACACCAGCAAAAATATCTTGGAGGTTGCATTAGCATCGTCAAGCTAGCACACAGTTACACTGGAACATCAACAAAATGACACCACCGTAGACCCCAAACAGTTTGTGTTTTTCAATATCGGAACAGTCTGCAACTAGAGCTTGCGACGTCCAGAGCTGGGAGACAAAGGATTGCAAGGCAGAGGCGGCCACAGCAGTCCAGAGCTGGGAGACAAATGTAAAGGATTGCAAGCGACATGCAGCCCAGAGCTGGGTGACAAATGCAAAGGCTTGCGAGCACATGTAAAGGATTGCAAGGCAGAGGGGACACAGCAGTCCAGAGCTGGGAGACAAATGTAGACACAGGGAGACAAATGACAATGTAAAGGATTGCAAGCAACATGCAGCCCAGCGCTGGGAGACAAATGTAAAGGATTGCAGGGCAGAGCAGCTGGGAGACAAATGTGAAGGGTTGCAAGCGAGAGGGGGAGAGAGGAGGCAAATGTAAAGGAAAGAAGGAAGACAAGGCGGACACAATGACCAACAAGAAGGGGGACAACAAGGGAGACAAGAAGGGAGCAAGACGGACACAGTGCCCAACAAGAAAGGAGACAAGACCGGAGACAAAGGGAGACAGAAGGGATACAAGGCGGACACAATGACCAACAAGAAGGGAGACAAGAAGGGAGAAGAAAGGAAACAGAAGGGAGACAAGACGGACACAATGACCAACAAAAAGGGAAACAAGACCGGAGACAAAGGGAGACAGAAGGGACGAGGCGGACACAATGACCAACAAGAGGGAGACAAAAAGGAGACAAGACAAAAGATAACAGAAGGGAGACAAGACGGACACAATGATAAACAAGAAGGGAGACAAGAAGGGAGACAAAAGAAAACAGAAGGGAGACAAGACGGACACAATGACCCACAAGAAGGGAGACAAGACCGGAGACAAAGAAAGAATGAAGGGAGACAAGGCGGACACAGTGACCAACAAGAAGGGAGAAAAAAGGAAACAGAAGGGAGACCAGGCGGACACAGTGACCAACAAGAAGGGGGACACAGTGACCAACAAGAAGGGAGACCAAGGGAGACAAGGCGGACACTCTTAGAAAGCATTTAGAACCCCTAACGGTAACCTGTTCGGGGAAGTACAGAAATCACCTGGGAGACAAATGAATAGAAATGCTGGAAAGGGGAAAAGGGCGGATGCCAGCAGTGCAGGCACCGAACCTGGAAAACAACAGTAAACAAACCACATGGGAAACAAATTAATAGAAATGCTGCATGGCCAGCGCAAAAGGGCGGACCTGGGAGACAAAAGTAAAGAAATAATTTTAAAGACAAACGAATTGAAATGCTGCATGGCCAGCAGAAATGGGCGGACACCAGCAGTGACACAAAGGGCGGACACATCTTCAGAAAGAATTGAGAAACCCTACGTAACCGCAAACTGCTTGGGGAATGAATAGAAATGTTGCATCGCCAGCGGAAAAGGGCGGACACCAGCAGTGCAAATGAACAGAAATGCTACAAGGCCAACCGAAAAGGGCGGACACCAGCAGCGATAGACCTGGCAAACAAATGAATAGAAATGCTACATGGGCCAGCAGAAAAGAGCTGACACCAGCAGCGATAGACCTGGCAAACAAATGCATAGAAATGCTACATGGCCAGCGGAGAAGGGCGGACACCAGCAGTGTGCATCGCCAGCGGAAAAGGGCGGACACCAGCAGTGACAGACCTGGGAGACAAATGCATAGAAATGCTACATGGCCAGCGGAAACCGCAAACACCAGCAGTGACAGACCTGAGAGACAAATGAATAGAAATGCTATATGGCCGGCGGAAGAGGGCGGACACCAGCAGTGACAGACCTGGGAGACGAATGAATAGACATGCTACATGGCCAGCGGAAAAGGGCGGACACCACCAGTGACAGACCTGGGAGACAAATGAATAGAAATGCTACATGGCCAGCGGAAAAGGGCGGACACCAGCAGTGACAGACCTGGGAGACAAATGAATAGAAATGCTA